TGCTGAAAACTAAGAGAATGCCATGGATGACTAAACACAAATGAGAGGAGAGGAGATACTAAGCGAGAACTGTGGCTGGTTGTAAGCATTACAAGCTTTATGATATAAGAGATTATATATAATATGCAATGCTAAAATCATATGTTAATGCCTTTGGGAAGTCATCAGCATAATGACCAGTTAAATGGACATAATGGACAATTAAAATCATTCATGAGTAATGATTACATCCATCTATTAGAGAAATTTATTTGAATGTTTTAAATTATTAATCTGAAATCCCTCACTTTAGGACAAAAGAAAAAGATAAAATTGAGTAAAGTTGAATATATTAATAAATATTTTCAGGAGTTATAAGAACTCTTGGTCTTACAAGCTTACAGATTGCAGATTACTTGAAATTATATGCAGAATAAGTGGGTGGAATGAATCTAGATCATCAGAATTCTGAATTACCAAACCTCCTTTATACAGTTTTCTGAATTTCTAGATACAGTTTAGTAATCTGTTAAGTCATATCTGCATTGAACCTCATAATTACAAAACAGTGTCCAAATATGTTTAATTATAGTCATCGTTACATAAAAATTTCCATGTATTATTTATGATAGGACTATAAAATACGCATTTATGTAATCACAGGCAAGTCAGTTTATCTGGTGGGTGAAGACAGCTGCATGTCTACTTTGCTCCTGCATGGTGCCAGTTAGGCGAGAAGCTCCGTAGCCATGTGAGGTACATGTTAGTTCAGCAGCTTCCAGTCCAGAGGTGGCTTGAGCCTGGCTGGTTTGAAAAGCAGCTACGTAACTGCATGTACCAATCCACTGAACGCTCACCTTCCAATAGTTTATTTCTATAGATAAATAGAAAAATAAACAATACCATTTCTCATCACCCACAGATGTTCTCAATTGACTTTGAGATTAATTTGGTTTAGGTGTTTTAACAGTCAAACAAATTGAACGAAATGGAAATAGTTTGAAAAAACTGGTTATTCCAACTAGTTGATGCATACCAAAGTAAATTTTTTACAACTGTAATCTTTGTGAAAAAAACAGAATTCTCTATAAAGGAAACGTTTAGAATGCCTGAAGCACATTTTGTCTTCACTTAGTGTTTTTTTAAACAAAAGCAAAAACCTCAATGTTGAGTGTTAAACTGGAAAAAGTGGTGTTCAGGAATCAGCATGTAAGAAGACATCTAGCTGAGCCCTTTTTTTCATTTAAAAGCTGAGCACTTGTCCAGAGTATTGAGACCTAGATGCTGTTAATTTTTCTGTCTGAGAAGATGCGGACTCACAGAAGAAAGCCTGTGTTCTAAAATATTCCAGGGTGGTCTTCTCTTAGAAAAACTACAAAATAAACAGAACTGCTGATCCAGCTGAAATATAAATACTTCTACAGTAATGGGATGGTTTCAATAAAAGATGATATGGCTTTATGATTGGAGCAAAAGCCTTGATATTAGGAATCATTCTGTTTCTTTGCACCTTATTGAGCAGAATTCAGCACTATCCTTCTGAATTCCCACACATGAGATTGGGATAACATCAACATTTATCACTCAGAAATCTCAAAGCAAACATCAGATAGCATTTGACTTCGGGATTTTCTTCGAATTGCAATTCTAAGAATGTGGTTTAATGTTTACTGCAATTATTAAATTTTCTTTGCAAATAACTGTAGCTACTCTAACAATCAATTCAAGGTTTTTTTATTAAATACTAAAGGGTTTTCTATTTAAATATTTCTGGGTCCAGTTTATTTTCAGAAATTTCAAAACTGGTCAAAATAACTTTGCAGTAAATTGCATTTTCTTTTATAAGATTTGAGCTTGAGTTAAACAACTTGAGATTTTTAACAGTAAAGTTACTGTAGTTAGCAATATTAGAGTGTTTCCTAACTGTTTATGATGTGCAAAGAACTCATGCCTGTCTTCTCTATTCTCTATTACTAGCACAGAGACCTATCTAAGTCTGTGCAACTTAATTTTGGACATGTAGTCTGATGACATCCTCAAGGCCTCCTTCTGCACTTCATGATGGTACAATCTAACGCAAAGTGGCATCAGTAGAAGACTTGACAGCATGCAATTTTACTAATTATTTTAATAATGTCTTTGTCATTTTCATTTATTTAACTTCCTGAACTTTGCTAGCCATCTATTTTTTCAAGAAATTGAAACTGATCCTGTTCTTACCACTAAGATCTTGGGGAGATACTTTGATGAATCTGAGAGTAAAGTCTCTTTGGTTCTTTTCTCTTTGCAGTATTTGTAACACTGTAAAAAGCAGTATTTGCCAAAGGTATCAGCTGAGAATAAATCTGCAAAGAACTGGAGTGATCAATTAGAGTGACCAATTAGAAAAATAGATATAGTCACAGTCTTAAACCACAGTCTGTGCTGTTTAAAGATTTTGAGCTTACCTATGCATACTAGATCCATAAAACCATACATTCCATAGCAGATTTGAAAAAGGATGTCCTTTCTTTGCCATACTGCATAAGGGCTGAAGGCTGACCATAGAAGCCAAGTCACACTTGCTACTAAGAACAGAGATCCTAGGATTACAGCAACCATCTGCACTTTCTCAACCAGTGTTATAGTAATGCTTTGCCACTAAAAGAGAAACAAAGTCGTATAAGATAAAAATGTTATTTTCTGTGATTGTACAGTCAACTCCACTTTTTTCCTGAAATCAGAAATTATTTAATATTTATACATATCTTCATAGATCTTTACTAATATCCTTGAAAATGACATTTTATATTTTTTTTCCTGTATTTCACTTGTAGTTAAAGTGAAACTAATAGTTGCTTCCCCAACCCTTCCAGCATCACTATCATCACCATCTAGCTGTGAACTTCAGAAGAATTAATAGTTTTATTGCTGTTTGGAATACATAGGCAAAAAAAGATTTAGTCTTAGGAATGGAACTGAACCTTTCATATTTGTAGGCTAATGAACAGAACAAAAAAAAAGTTGGGAAGACAATCTTAAGTATGTTTTATGTTACTGTGACAAATTGAAAGTGACAACTTTCCTTTCCATCTCAGCCCCTTAAAGTCTGAAGCCATTTTCCACTTTCCTCCTGCTCATCAAAGATGTTCCAGACATACCAAGGGAGTTGGCTTTCTCCGCATAAACCAGTGTTTACAGTACAAAGAGACACCTGCAACCTGAAGGCTCAGGAGGAGCCCTGAATGTAGGTAGCACAGGCATTTCTTTTCAGTGCACCCCAATTACGTCCACCTTTCCAGGGAAGTCTGTATCCTCTGTACATGAGGTGACTCAGATTTATGGTGTGACAAGATTTAAATGTAAGAGTATGCTTACTGAATTCTGTCAAGATAAGAATCGAAACAAAATTCTGTTAAAACAGAGTCACAAAAGCAAAACACAGCGTAAGGAAAGAATAATTCTAGATTACCCTTAACATGTATGGCCTTTCTTGGCCATAATTGTCTAAATTAGCTTGGCAGACTCCCCACTCTAGCCCCATCACCCATTCCAGAGCTAGTATGCAGACTTTGTATACTGCCATTTTTCCTGTTCGTAATTTTGAACATACCGACTCCCTTGTACAGTTGCAATAGGGAACAGGTGGACAAAGCTACTGAAGTAAGGGCTTTATTACCTCTATCCCCACCTGGCAATATTTTTTCCTTTTTCCTGTTACTTTCTGAAAGCCTTCTCTTTTTACCAGCAGTTGGGTACCCAGTACAGTATTATCATAGGCTGACAGAATAATTCAGGTTGCAAGGAGCTGCGGGAGGTCTCCAGTTCAACTTCCTGCTCAAAACGGCCAGTGATGAGATCAGACCAGGTTGTTCAGTAACACCTTGAAAGTAACACCTTGAAAACCTCCAAGCATGGAGACTATTCAGGCTCTCTGGGCAACCTGTTCCACTTATTGACTGTCCTCAGGTTGAAAAACATTTTTCTTAAAAAATATTTTTTCTTATATCCAGTCTGATCCTCTTTTGTTCCAAATTATGCTCTCTTCCTCCCATCAAATACCACTATGAAGAGCCTGGGTGAGCAATGACGTCCTCTGCCCCTTTCTTCTTTTTCAGTTTTTTCCATTAACTTTTCTACTGCTGCCTAATTTGTACATCTGTCTGGTGCTGCATGTTTTCTCTTGTTGCAGCCTTCTGAATATAATAGCACAAAAAGATAGCTGTATAACAATCTGTCTTGAAATACTGTCCTTTTATAATGAACTTACTAACTAGCTATTTCATTGAACTTCAGGGTTTGGAAGGGGGCTATTAATATTAAATAATACCTTTTTAATGGTAAAGCAAATATGGATACTCCTTTGTTAGACTTTTTTTATAAGGTCAAGGAAGGTCATTAACAAGCCACGCACAACAGAATGGTGTGAGCTTCTCATGACTCAGATACTTGTATACAGGATTTAAATGTCAGAACTGAAATTCATATAACTCTCTTTAGATTCTATAGGTTTATGTTTAACAAAATGATTTTTCATTTCTCAGCTGAAGCCACATATTGTGTCTTGGAAGAAAACTGTCAAAAATGCTATTGGTTATGTACCTCTTTCTATCTTCTTTCATTATCAGTGTGAGACAGACCTATAACAAATTTGTTCGCAATACTTGAAATCAAAGTACATTTACATGAAGTAAAGCTTTAACTGTCACAAAATATTAAAATGACAAATTCATGGAAGAAAGTGGCAAGAAATCGAAAATACTGTTATATCACTGAAATAAACAGCAGATCTTTCACAGTGCAATTTCAGCAATGCAGAAGTTCCTAAACTCACTTCAGCTTATTTTGATTTTCTTTTTTTTTAAACTTTGATTGTTTATAATTATTCTGCAAAGATAGCACTGAACAGAAGGGAAAGTAGTCCAGACATTTGGGATAAGTAATGTAGAATGCAGTCTAGATCTAAAGCCCACCCCTTATTCTAGTGGACAATGAATTTCTATTCTTATCTCCCACTCCCAACTAGAATCAACCACTCCTACCATCTTTTCTCATCTCATAAGGGCTTTCACTGGCTTTCCCCAGCTATTTCTTTCTAGAAAAGGTTGGCCTTGAAAAGTTCTAAGAAACATAGATTTGATCCTCACCTCTTCCTAGCATCTTCTCAAGAATGTATTCTAGTTATTTTGCTGTTCTCCTGATCAGATGAATTGTCTGTCAAGAATGCAAGCAATTGACTCTCTCAACCTCTATAAATTCAGTAATTCAAAAGATTCAGCATATTAGCACGCTACCAACCAGGAAGGGGAGCCACCTCAATTACTGAGAAAACACACAAGCATTCCACAGGCTGTAGTTCCTAAGTGCTTTGCCTTTAAAAATGAAGGAAAAGTTACAAAACAAAACAAAACACAACAAAATAAAACAACTAAGAACCCCAAAAGGGGACTGCATGTTTCCTTCTATTACTCACTTACTTTGGCCTTTGTGGTATTGACGGCCTCTCTTCTACAAAAGAAACTAGTCCTCCACCTTCCTCAATATGAACCATATTGAGGAAGCAATAACCAAGCAATTTAAACATTTTAGGAAAGTTTCCTCCCTATTAGTGTAATCTCTAAATTAAACTAATTGATGAGATCCCACAGTAGATAGAGGAGGAAGGACTGTGTGCATAAGATGGAAGACATTCAAGAGGCCCAGAAAGTTTTAGGCAAAACCGTCAATTTGCCTCCTAGTGCCATGCAGTCTGCACTATGAATCCAGTACCCTAAGGGTGATGGGGTGGGATGGACTGGGATTAAGCTCTAACATGTGATCAGTTTGGGGACCTCGGTTTCTGAGTATGTCCCTCCTTAGTGCTAATGGCAAGAAGACCATGGATGTTCCTGATGGTTAACTTACTTCAATTGAAATTTCCTCCTCCTTGCCCCGTTCCAATCAGTTTTGATTCAGAACAGTCTGAGATTGCCTCTTGGGAAATCAACATCCTGATTTTTCTCCCATACAAATTACAAAAAGTGAACAGATCTTACTAAGACAGGCATGTTTTTCACACAATGAAGAAGGTATTCTGTAGTTATGACGTTATTCACATGTAAATAAGTTTGGAAGGTTCAGTTCTTTACTTAGCCATGGACAGTATTAGCCATCAGGCAATGAGAGGAAACTACACAGGACTGTATTGTTTGATGGCATTGCATTTCATAACAAGGCTTGTGAAGAGGAACTGGAGCTGTGGTCACACTGTTTTCTTCTACCTGAAGTCTTACTCACAGCATAGCTAATATGTGTGAGTATCATAGAAT